TAACTTAAAATAAGATGGTTTTATCTGTTCTATAGTTCCATATTGCCAAACAAAGACTTCACATATTTGAAAATTTTGTCTAGAAAGAGAAAAGTGACAAAAAAAGCAACTTCGTTGTGTATTAAACTATTTGTACCTAAAAAGAAACACAAAAAGAGACTTTGTTCTGCAGACCTGAATGCATATGCCTTAGAAAGTAATTGTGGATTTAAAAAAAAAACATTGGTTCTGTTGAGCGACTAGTGAATGTTCACTCTGTCTGAGAATACTGATAGATGCTATTGTAACTGTTGTTGGCAATAAAGCAGAAGTTTTAATTAATTTTCAACGTCTTGTGTCTGTTATTCATACCTGAAATCATTAATTATTTTAATTCATTAAAAATAATAATACTAAATTATTTTTTTGTGTTAAATCAAAGCAATTCCTTTTAGTATTCATTAAAATAGTACTCTGATGAAACCAATATTTTTGTTTAAATTAATTTTTTGTGTGTGCTATTTGCATCTACTTAATTTGAATGGCTAATTTTTAAGAACACGTTTGATTAATTCTAACTCAATTCTTAATAGTTGTTGAATTTAATTAATATTATTGCTTGTAATCTGTTGCCACAATTTTATTGAGTAGATGTAGTGTATTATTTTTTACAGTTTTGAATGAAAGGGTATGTAAACTGTTTATTTTTTATTAGTTTTAGAAATAAAACTCTACCAATTACAATTTTGTTTGTTCTTTATGAAAAAAAATGGTGTGTAACTATTGTCTTTATTTTTTCCTCTGACAGTCAAGAGAGTTAGACAGTTCTGGCAAATTAGTTCATGAATCAAATATTACTTCGTTCTCACTCTGTGCTATACATTACAGTAAAAAAATAAAAGTTATAGGCCTACTAAAATATGCGGACAATTTTTATACCCTATAAAAAGAACAATCCTGTCAGTCGGGGTTCTGTATAGACGATAGATCCATTATCCAGGATTTTTACAGTTAATCCCATGTCCAGCAAATTAATACACACACACACACACACACACACACACACACGGTCGGGGACAAGGCATATTAACACAAAGATGACCATTTCTTTTTTTGTGTGTTAGGCCTATATGCAAGTAAAATCCCTGGAGACAGATACCAATTATAAATGGCTAAAGACAAACCATCCATTCCGTACGAGAGCGCTCTCTCTAGCTATATTAGAATAGAAAATCTAAAACAATGGATCGGCATTAATCTAATATCCCCAATTAAATAAATGTGGCAGTAAGTGGTCAGGTGCTTAAATATTACCAATAATTAGAGAAATCCTATAGTCGACTACGCCACCTGGAATACACCGGGACACAGGGTTGTTGCCAAAGGCAGGGTGAGCATAATAATGGGTATAAACAAAAGTCACTATTAACATACAATTGATAAAAACACAACACACCAGGTCTCAATACATCACACGTCCTTACCAGTAACTTATAAAACAAGTACAATACAATACAATAAAAGAAAATAAAGGGGGAGGTGGCCAGCAAAGACCCTCAGATTTCTATCCCACACTCAATACCCATGACACACACTCGTGAAAAACCAGTAATATTAAACACAGCACGCCATGTGGACACGCAGTACAAGGTACAATGGCCAACCCCTCCCACCTAATTCCACACACACCAATGAATACAAAATATAACAGATGGACCCAGATGAACGCCAGACAGAACCAAACGAAGTAGAGCAGAGCAGAAGTGCAGTCAGTTACGCTTCAATTAAGATCATTAGAAACCCCTGGACGTGCAGTCAATCCTGCTGGACATTAAACACAACTTGTTTAAAAACAAACTTTAAAACTAGCCATACCTACCAAGAAAACAGTGCAATGATGCAATACACATGGTCGCTCACCACGCAGGATTACAGCTACTTGCAGGCCCATATGTAGAAAAACAAGATAATAAGCCTCTCTATTTAAAAGGCATTTTTAAAATGGGGACAAACCTGAAAACTGGCCAACAGCCAGCACACGACAGGCATGCGGATAACCCAACTGCTAGCACCCAACGCTCCACATGCCACAAAGGGGCAGTACCAAGGATGACGCATCCCAAGCAACCAAACACCCCCCCTTTTATAGGCACACAGGCGCTAATTGGCTCATTAAACTTACCCAACTGACCAATCATGATAAAGTATGAACACTGATAGGTTCACCTGTTTGGGTAACGCCAGCCAATCATACTGGGTCTATACCTCACTCTGCTACATAAACATGACGGATAGAATCAAAAAGACATTTAGGCTAACTCTGATAGAGTGATGTATCAGAATCAGAATCAGAATGAGCTTTATTGCCAGGTATGTTTTCACATACGAGGAATTTGTTTTCATGACAGAAGTATATCTTAATAATTAGCTATTTACAGTGCAACGTCTGCATATCAGTCATGTTACAGCTTGTTGTATCCTTATAATAATGGATACAGCATTGATGTGCATCCTGGCAATAACATATGAATTGCAGGCTATTCAAAAAATAAATAATTAAATAAATAAAACTTTGAAGTTGCCGGTATAGACGAAAACATCGCGGATGAATTTAGACATTCAAGTTTTTACATTGTAATGTAATGTAGGTCATCGTGTAGATGTAATGTAGGTCAAAAACCCTTGCTACATGTACTGCGTTAGACTTCACTTAGACCAAGTCGTTAGACTAAGTCGCTGTGGATAAAAGCGTCTGCAAAATGATAAAATGTAAATAAAAATATGAATTTATTCGAGACCTACTACAGCGCACGCGCGTAAAATATCCACTACGTAGTGGATATAGTCCAGCTACGTCACCGTGCTGCAGGCTGCAGCGAGGACAGGGGCTACTGGACTCTTTCTGTTAAACAGAGTGAATTTAGTGTAGACACGTTTGATTTAAGAGTTAAAACCACTGGCTGGTCAGCATTTAATTTTACTTCGGGGATCAAACTCATTCAATATGGAATTATTTTTGTGTCTTTATTATTCAAACAAACATTGTGTTTGAGAGTAAAACTAATTATTTTGTCATTAAAAAATAAAAGACTGCAAAACAAAAGTCTTCTAAAGGCTAAAAAATAAAGAAATTGATCAAGTTATTTGCAGTGCGTATAAATCTTTGAAAATCTTTATTTTTCTTTGTGCACTTCAAACACGTTTCATCGCGAAACCACAAATGTGGCTCTCTTATCTGCCCTCTTTTTTTGCAGGTCTAAAACGTTTGTTTGCAAGGTGAAAAGTTTTGCTTGTGAGTGAAGCTGTCTCTCAGTGGGCGTTCTCTGTACACTCTGTACACTCCAGGATGAAAGGCCTTTTTCTATTGGTCACTCTCGATTGAAGTCACAGGTTGACCACGCCCACTAAGTTTCCCCGGAATCCCCGCCACTACCTGTCTGACAGAACGTCTCAGAAGAGCGAGCGAGGTTGTATAATGGCGAGCAACAGGTCATTTACTGGGTAAAATAACTAACTTAACATCTTAAACTCAGTGACAAGTGAACTTAATTATTCTCTCCTCTCATGCTCTCCCATCTAAATACGTAACGTTAGCTAAGCCCGTTGTAGATTTGATTAGCCAACAGTATAGCTAGCTGCCAGAGCCCCCAATAGTAAAGCGTCAGGCCAATATTTTCAGAGATTATAGATTATTATAGCTCCAGTGAAGTAAGGTGAGTAACGCACATCAGAACACTAGCCCATTTGGCGGGTTATGATTCATAAATTATGACCGTATGCACACTCAAGTCTATTGGCGGCACCCAACAGCTGTAGTTTGCCATTCAAAGTTTTCTAAAATACAACGATTTGGGACTGATGTCTGTACATTCTGACTTCACCCTAGTCTACAAGACTGTGTATTGTGCATTTTAATAACAGGTTTGTTTTGTACTATCTTTAAGACCTGTGCTATGACAATTGCAAAACGTATTACCTCAATAGTAACGATTGATATTCAGGACTTGTCAGTCAGTACCACTGTAACCTTGCAGAGACTTTGCTTTGAATACCTTTTAATGAACTAACTTCCACATTTCAATATGCCCCTGACTTCTGGGGTGTTTTTATTTGTGACTACCCCCAACAGCCTAGAATTCTATCAGTAGAACATCACATTTTTCTTTTCTGTTTGCAGGAAGAAGATTTGGTGTTGATAGAGGAGGCAACATCTTCAAGGCAAAACCTTAGACATGATGCAACATCATCCAATGTTGCAATCACCCTCAGGAGGTACACAAGCAAAAGCTAAATTGCATATTGTCAATTATCAATTCCTATTTTACCAAATTTGCCTTTTTGTCTTTAATGTGTAGGCACTTTGAAGCCCAGTGTCCAATATGCACAGGAACATTTCCAGTGTCAGAAGTAGAACTGCCATGCCAGCTTTTGTGGAGAAAGGTAATGGTAACAGTAACTCACATTAAAGCTTAAAAACACCTAAAAAAAACACGTCTAAAGTTTCCACAACTTTAGACTTATTATCTCATGACAGATTTCAGATGTCTTTGTGGTGTTTATCTGTGCTACTGCATGACCAATCACATCCTCCTTTTCTTTTTCTATTAGCCGCCGAGCTATTAAGTTTGCATATAAAGCACTCCAATATTGAAGGTATAAATATTGGAGGGAATACTTTGATAATTAGTCAGTTAGCGGACGATACTTGTCTTTTTCTTAAAAATGATTCAAAAGTTTCTGTTGCCTTCAATGAATTTATTCTTTTCTCCAAAGCTTCAGTGTTGGAGAGGAAAGGAGAGTGCTAGGGTCTGGTTCTAACTATCAGCAGTATACACTCCTGGTGTGTCGGTCAGGACACAAAGAATGAGGAGACTGGAGCTTCTTTCCAAAGTGTATTGAATATTAGTTTAAATAAAAATTCTGTTGATGGTATTATAGTTAAACGTCATGTAAAATATCTAGGGGTTGATATCTGCAGATCTGATTCAGACCGTCTCCATCACAATTTTCAGCCAAGTTTAGATAACATTAAAAATATTTTATGTTGCTGGCTGCAGAGAGACTTGACAATTTATGGAAGAGTCCTGCTGACTAAGGCTGAGGGCATTTCACGCCTAGTTTATCCTGCTTTTTCCCTTTATGTTGATCAAAAAACTATTAAAATTATTAACTCTCTGCTATTCCGCTTTATTTGGAAAAATAAGACAGAATGTGTTCAAAGGGAATCTATGATAAGAAATTATAATGAGGGTGGTCTTAATGCTTTAGATTTTAAATTGTCAATTATCAATTCCTATTTTACAAAATTTGCCCTGCATACATTTTTGTCTTTAATGTGTAGGCACTTGAAGACCAGTGTCCAATATGCTCAGGAACATTTCCAGTTTCAGAAGTAGAACTGCCATGCCAGCTTTTGTGGAGAAAGGTAATGGTAACAGTAACTCACATTAAAGCTTAAAAACACCTAAAAAAAACACGTCTAAAGTTTCCACAACTTTAGACTTATTATCTCATGACAGATTTCAGATGTCTTTGTGGTGTTTATCTGTGCTACTGCATGACCAATCACATCCTCCTTTTCTTTTTCTATTAGCCGCCGAGCTATTAAGTTTGCATATAAAGCACTCCAATATTGAAGGTATAAATATTGGAGGGAATACTTTGATAATTAGTCAGTTAGCGGACGATACTTGTCTTTTTCTTAAAAATGATTCAAAAGTTTCTGTTGCCTTCAATGAATTTATTCTTTTCTCCAAAGCTTCAGTGTTGGAGAGGAAAGGAGAGTGCTAGGGTCTGGTTCTAACTATCAGCAGTATACACTCCTGGTGTGTCGGTCAGGACACAAAGAATGAGGAGACTGGAGCTTCTTTCCAAAGTGTATTGAATATTAGTTTAAATAAAAATTCTGTTGATGGTATTATAGTTAAACGTCATGTAAAATATCTAGGGGTTGATATCTGCAGATCTGATTCAGACCGTCTCCATCACAATTTTCAGCCAAGTTTAGATAACATTAAAAATATTTTATGTTGCTGGCTGCAGAGAGACTTGACAATTTATGGAAGAGTCCTGCTGACTAAGGCTGAGGGCATTTCACGCCTAGTTTATCCTGCTTTTTCCCTTTATGTTGATCAAAAAACTATTAAAATTATTAACTCTCTGCTATTCCGCTTTATTTGGAAAAATAAGACAGAATGTGTTCAAAGGGAATCTATGATAAGAAATTATAATGAGGGTGGTCTTAATGCTTTAGATTTTAATATCATTAACCAGACTTTCAAAATTAACTGGATCAAGAATTGTTTATCTAATAATGAGTTACCCTGGTTTTGGATCCCTAACCTATTCTTCAAACGTTGTGGTGGCCTTACATTTTTATTGTCCTGTAACTTTTAAGTGTAGTAAGTTACCTATTAAACTGTCAAATTTTCATAAACAAGCCCTAGAATCCTTGAAGGTTGCACACGTTTATTCTTTGGCCACATTTGTGGTTTCGCGGTGAAAAGTGTTTGAAGTGCACAAAGAAAAATAAAGATTTTCAAAGATTTATACAATAAGACAGAATGTGTTCAAAGGGAATCTATGATAAGAAATTATAATGAGGGTGGTCTTAATGCTTTAGATTTTAATATCATTAACCAGACTTTCAAAATTAACTGGATCAAGAATTGTTTATCTAATAATGAGTTACCCTGGTTTTGGATCCCTAACCTATTCTTCAAACGTTGTGGTGGCCTTACATTTTTATTGTCCTGTAACTTTTAAGTGTAGTAAGTTACCTATTAAACTGTCAAATTTTCATAAACAAGCCCTAGAATCCTTGAAGGTTGCACACGTTTATTCTTTGGCCACATTTGTGGTTTCGCGGTGAAAAGTGTTTGAAGTGCACAAAGAAAAATAAAGATTTTCAAAGATTTATACGCACTGCAAATAATTGTGTAATCAATTTCTTTATTTTTGAGCCTTAATGTAGTAGTGATATCGCGAGAACAGAGGGGTGGGAACGGGAGAGAGTCGAGTGAGTTAAAGAGAGCGATCATGTAGTTGAGAGTGTGTTAATAAAGTTGAGATAACAACGATACAGACTGGTTATTGAGACAAACAACACAACACTTAAGAAGACTTTTTTTTGCAATCTTTTATTTTTTAATAACAAAATCATTAGTTTTACTCTCAAACATAGAATGTTTGATTGAATAATAAAGACACAAAAATGATTCCATAATTCAACACCATGAGCGGCTCTGGCAAGTTAGAGAAACGGCGCGATCTAAATATTTGCCAAACTTCATTAACTTGAAATAGTTTGAAGCAGCAGGGTGAGTGACGCAACTTTTTCTTTACCTGAAACTAGTTCGGTTAAAACTGAATTTTACGATTGCATGTTAGATACGGTATATTTAAAGCGTTAAATAAAGTACCTGGCTAATCGGCATTTCATTATAATTCGCGGATCAAGGTCTATTCCTACACGATGAGCTCTGGTAAGCGAGAAAAAGCGGCGCGATCTGACTTAAACTCCAATAGTTTGAATCCATTCTAAATATAAATTTGTATTTTGTACACTTAAAAAATTAACCAGTCTGTTTATTTTTAGAATGATCTATATATATAGAATGAAATATCGTTTCGATGTAGGCTATACAAATAACATTTGTGGATAGGAACTACGTAGCTCTTATTCAGAGGGTTACCTCAGTGATGGCAATTATTGCAGATGAACTAAAAAATAAGGAAGTATCGAAAGCCAAATGGGTCAGAGTTTGCGTGCTTTTCACTGCTGTATTAATATTAAAATATTAAGGCCCCTACAATTCTAGATATCGGGCAAATATGCCCCTGAATGAGCTTTTGTCTCATATATTTATGCAATATCACGAGTCTCAAATAAGTGCAAATTTTATATTGATTTTAGTAAAATAAATAAGAAATTAATATTGTATTTAATTTCTTTATTAATTTTATATTTTATTTTGTTTTGTTTTATTTTATATATATTTTTGAACAAAATTCATGTGCATTTATACTTCACAGTCATATACAGTGTGTTTACCATAGATGTGTATAGGTAGATTCCTCATTAGCGACTGTTTCTATGGGCCGCTATACTGTAAGCCGTCCAGCATATTGGAATGTCAGTCCCCAACCGGGATCGGGTCCGTGAACACTCGAGAGCAATGCTGGTGCAACTGCACTGCAACTGTAGTTATACGCATGTATGAATAATATATATCTTCAGTAGACTTCAGAATACGTGGGCAGCGCGGCGACATATAGCACCGTTGTGCTTTGGGCGTCCCGAGTTCGAGTCCCGCCTCACAGACCTTTCCCGATCCCGTCCCCTTCTCTCTCTCTCCCACCTCGCTTCAGCTACTGTCCTATCAAAATAAATGCAAAAACGCCAAAAATAAATCTTTAATAAAAAATAAATATAAATAAGGACGTGATACGTGATGAAACATATTCAGAGATCATAGCAGGGCAAAATGAGAAAGCTCTTTGAAGTACTATATTCTGGAGGAGACAGAGTGAAAAAATTACTTTTATTATGCTCGAACCTACCAATATGGGTAGTCTAATGTGACCTGTCCTGTGGTTCTTGGTAACAGGTGATTACAAATGGAAACACAAGCCTCCTGATCCTGATTCCAAAGTAGCAGCCAGACATAAAAGTGAGATTATCCTGTTATTATCAATATAAGTCACTTTATAGATTTATTCAAGCTAATTTTTCAAGATGATATTATTTACTGTGTTGTCTTGGTTTGAGTATTACCAGAGCTCTTTGTAGCATTGCGTGGGGGGATTGGTCACACTGGGGCTTGTAGATCTCAGTAATGATGGGAATGAGGCAGAGCAATCTAAATTCATTTGCAGAGACTTTTATTGCGGATTAACCAAGCAGTCAGTAAAAGAGTAAACTGGTCGAACAGGCAGCAGAGAAGAGCAAAAGTATCAATGGGACCATTTATCAGTGGACCAATCAGGTAGCAGTGAGGGGGGTAATAATCTGGCAGGGGGTCAGAATTGGGCACAACACCGGAGAGCCAAATAATAGCCAAGTAACAACACTTAGAATTGTCCTCCAAAAAAATAACAAGACTTCACAAAGAGCTCGGAGCCTTTACAGTCTAAATGTAAATATACACATAAACACCCTAATATACAACAGGTGAAGGGAATCAGAGTCAGTGACACTCATCAGGTGAACAAAAGAGGGGGAATAATATAGAGAGAGTAATTACGGCAGTCAGAAAAGTGAAAGATGTCACTCCCTATGCCATTGTATTAGAAACATCCTTGCAGCTGTGTTACCAGATTTTTCACAAAGTATAGTGTTATAAATGTACATTCAGTTTTTAAAAATGAAAATAAAAGAATACTGTGGAAAAGCATCATTACAGTCTGTGAAAAGGGTCCATATCTTTAAGTAAATGTGAAAAATGTTAAAATAGGCTGCATGGTATAATTAATTTTAAATTTAGCATTATTTGAGCAAAATTCAACATTTCAGAATAAATAGCCAGGTTAAACTACTATTTTTGGTAAATTCCTTTTAGGGATTTTATTTAAGCAGAGACAACAGAGGCCTGTTTGAGACTGTACACACAAAATGACAGTGTTATATTTTCATATATTTAAGTTTGTTCTTGTAAGCTGTGGGGGTGAGGGGGCAGTGTGATTGGGAGATTTTTTTAACCACTAAAGTAATAACTGCTGTGTTTTTTTTTTGTAGATTGGAGTGACATGATTCTTCAATATAAAGCGTCAGTCATTGATAAATGTAAGTTTGCGACAGAGTATAGTCTTCCATCTGATGAGCGTGTTGACCTGGCTGCCCGTTATACTGAACCAGTCATCATTCAGAGGAGCAAAGAGCAGACTGAGAAATACTATCGTGATCATGTGAGGTCTGTGGATGCTTCATCTCAACTGTTATCAAATGACAAGAATCACAGCATCAGAATAGACCAGCTGTTCAGTGCCGACGGTGATGGAAACACACCGAAAACTGATTCTCAGTGGAGATTCTGGAAGAGGGAAATCCTTTATGTTACAGAAGATCATGTTGGACTGGGCTTCTGGAGAACTTTACTCTGAAAACTTTGATGTAGTTTTTCTGTTGAAGTGTGAAGAGCTGAAGTGTATTTTTGAGGAGTTGAACTTGTTTGGGCTCTTGAGCTGGAGTTGCAACTTAATATCAGATCAGATCTCACATATACTAGAGTTAAAACCAGAGAAAGTCCTCATCCTCATTGATGGAATTGATGAGTATGTAAATCATCCCTCCAGTCATTCGATGTTACTACTCACTAATTCATCCGATAGAGCCCGACCTATGGACATTCTTAGGAGTGTGTTAAAGGGAATCTTGCTGCCTGAGTCATTCATGCTTGTCACTACAAGATCTATAGCTGCTGATGCACTGATGAATCTCCGAAAGGGACCTCAGCGTTTCACTGAGATTATGGGCTTCTCTGAGAGAGGGGTGCAGGCGTACTTCCAGAAGTTCTTTCAGGATGAGCAACTCTTCAGGAAATCATACAAGAGTGTGGAGACAAATGAAAGACTCCTGACTGCCTGCTCTGTGCCTTTGCTGTGTTGGATGGTCTGTTTTTGTCTGAAGAAACACTTAACCGATGACGATCGTGTGATGAGAGAACTAAAGACAACCACCTCCATATATGTGCTCTTTGTGTCCACTCTACAAAGTGAAAGATGTCACTCCCTATGCCATTGTATTAGAAACATCCTTGCAGCTGTGTTACCAGATTTTTCACAAAGTATAGTGTTATAAATGTACATTCAGTTTTTAAAAATGAAAATAAAAGAATACTGTGGAAAAGCATCATTACAGTCTGTGAAAAGGGTCCATATCTTTAAGTAAATGTGAAAAATGTTAAAATAGGCTGCATGGTATAATTAATTTTAAATTTAGCATTATTTGAGCAAAATTCAACATTTCAGAATAAATAGCCAGGTTAAACTACTATTTTTGGTAAATTCCTTTTAGGGATTTTATTTAAGCAGAGACAACAGAGGCCTGTTTGAGACTGTACACACAAAATGACAGTGTTATATTTTCATATATTTAAGTTTGTTCTTGTAAGCTGTGGGGGTGAGGGGGCAGTGTGATTGGGAGATTTTTTTAACCACTAAAGTAATAACTGCTGTGTTTTTTTTTTGTAGATTGGAGTGACATGATTCTTCAATATAAAGCGTCAGTCATTGATAAATGTAAGTTTGCGACAGAGTATAGTCTTCCATCTGATGAGCGTGTTGACCTGGCTGCCCGTTATACTGAACCAGTCATCATTCAGAGGAGCAAAGAGCAGACTGAGAAATACTATCGTGATCATGTGAGGTCTGTGGATGCTTCATCTCAACTGTTATCAAATGACAAGAATCACAGCATCAGAATAGACCAGCTGTTCAGTGCCGACGGTGATGGAAACACACCGAAAACTGATTCTCAGTGGAGATTCTGGAAGAGGGAAATCCTTTATGTTACAGAAGATCATGTTGGACTGGGCTTCTGGAGAACTTTACTCTGAAAACTTTGATGTAGTTTTTCTGTTGAAGTGTGAAGAGCTGAAGTGTATTTTTGAGGAGTTGAACTTGTTTGGGCTCTTGAGCTGGAGTTGCAACTTAATATCAGATCAGATCTCACATATACTAGAGTTAAAACCAGAGAAAGTCCTCATCCTCATTGATGGAATTGATGAGTATGTAAATCATCCCTCCAGTCATTCGATGTTACTACTCACTAATTCATCCGATAGAGCCCGACCTATGGACATTCTTAGAAGTGTGTTAAAGGGAATCTTCCTGCCTGAGTCGTTCTTGCTTGTCACCACAAGATCTATAGCTGCTGATGCACTGATGAATCTCTTCAAGGGACCTCTGCGTTTCACTGAGATTATGGGTTTCTCTGAGAGAGGGGTGCAGGAGTACTTCCAGAAGTTCTTTCAGGATGAGCAACTCTTCAGCAAAACATATGAGAGTCTAAAAGCGAATGAAATCCTCCTGACTGCCTGCTCTGTGCCTTTGCTGTGTTGGATGGTCTGTTTTTGTCTGAAGAAACACTTAACCGATGACGATCGTGTGATGAGAGAACTAAAGACAACCACCTCCATATATGTGCTCTTTGTGTCCACTCTACTAGAGCATCATGGTCACAGTCAGTCTGTCCTCACCATGCTGAGGAGGCTGGGTCAGCGGGCAGAGGAAGGGATGAAGAAGCGAGAAGGTCTTTTTGTAGAGAAGAGTGTGACTGCAGCTGGCTTAGATCCAGCTACTAGCGTGTTCTTGTGTAAAGATAGTTTGAAAAGAAATAACAGAAAGGTTCCAGTATTCAAGTTTGTGCATCTAAGCTTTCAGGAGTTCTTCACAGGACTTTTCTATGTTTTACTGGATGAAAAAGAGTCCTGGGGGAAAGTCAGAGAGCTGTTGAGATCGCTGAAATCGAAGGGTATAATCAGTAGGCCATGTCCAGAAAGGAGATCAAATCCTGTCCCTTCAGTCATTATGTTTCTCTGTGGTCTCTTAAATGAGAAAGCGAGCAGCTCACTCTTTGAAATGATCAAGTGGACTGTTCCTCACACCATAAAACTGAAGACAGACTTGCTGGACCTCAAGGGACGTCAGCGTTTCACTGAGATTATGGGCTTCTCTGAGAGAGGGGTGCAGGAGTACTTCCAGAAGTTCTTTCAGGATGAGCAACTCTTCAGCAAAACACATGAGAGTCTAAAAGCGAATGAAATCCTTCTGACTGCCTGCTCTGTGCCTTTGCTGTGTTGGATGGTCTGTTTTTGTCTGAAGAAACACTTAACCGATGACGATCGTGTGATGAGAGAACTAAAGACAACCACCTCCATATATGTGCTCTTTGTGTCCACTCTACTAGAGCATCATGGTCACAGTCAGTCTGTCCTCACCATGCTGAGGAGTCTGGGTCAGCGGGCAGAGGAAGGGATGAAGAAGCAAGAAGGTCTTTTTGTAGAGAAGAGTGTGACTGCAACTGGCTTAGATCCAGCTACTAGCGTGTTCTTGTGTAAAGATAGTTTGAAAAGAAATAACAGACAGGTTCCAGTATTCAAGTTTGTGCATCTAAGCTTTCAGGAGTTCTTCACAGGACTTTTCTATGTTTTACTGGATGAAAAAGAGTCCTGGGGGAAAGTCAGAGAGCTGTTGAGATCGCTGAAATCGAAGGGTATAATCAGTAGGCCATGTCCAGAAAGGAGATCAAATCCTGTCCCTTCAGTCATGATGTTCCTCTGTGGTCTCTTAAATGAGAAAGCGAGCAGCTCACTCTTTGAAATGATCAAGTGGACTGTTCCTCAAATCATAAAACTGAAGACAGACTTGCTGGAAAGTGTTCTTACAGTGAGAAGACAGCATGGATGTGAACTGTTTGCTCTTCGCTGTCTGTATGAGCTCCAGGATGAGGAGTTTGTGAGGAGAGCTTTAGGAGATTGGGTATCCATGAATCTGTCCAAAGTTTCCCTGAGGAGCACAGTCTGTTGGGTGCTGCTGTACTGTCTTCAGTGCTGTCCACACATCAGAGACCTGAACCTCATGTACTGTGATTTAACAGCCGAGAAACTCAAGATTCTTCAGCCAGCATTCTGTATGTGTGAGACTCTGAGGTCAGTGTGTTTGCATGAAGAAACACTTAGATTCGATCTTAATTCTCGATTGACACACTTTTTAAAATACAATTAAAAAATACTTCCAGAAGTTCTTTCAGGATGAGCAACTCTTCAGCAAAACATATGAGAGTCTAAAAGCGAATGAAATCCTTCTGACTGCCTGCTCTGTGCCTTTGCTGTGTTGGATGGTCTGTTTTTGTCTGAAGAAACACTTAACCGATGACGATCGTGTGATGAGAGAACTAAAGACAACCACCTCCATATATGTGCTCTTTGTGTCCACTCTACTAGAGCATCATGGTCACAGTCAGTCTGTCCTCACCACGCTGAGGAGGCTGGGTCTGCTGGCAGAGGAAGGGATGAAGAAGCAGCAGGTCTTTCTTGATGAAAAGTGTGTAGCCAAGACTGACTTAGATCCAGCTACTAGTGTGTTCTTGTATAAAGATAGTTTGAAAAGAAAAAACAGACAGGTGCCAGTGTTCAAGTTTATGCATTTCAGCTTTCAAGAGTTTTTCACAGGTCTTTTCTATATTATACTGGATGGAAATGAGTCCTGGGGGAAAGTCAGACAGCTGTTGAGATCGCTGAAATCGAAGGGTATAATCAATAGACTATCTCCAGAAAGGATAACAAATCCTGCCCCTTCAGTCATGATGTTTCTCTGTGGTCTCTTAAATGAGAAAGCGAGCAGCTCACTCTTTGAAATGATCAAGTGGACTGTTCCTCACACCATAAAACTGAAGACAGACTTGCTGGAAAGTGTTCTAACAACGAGAAGACAGCATGGATGTGAACTGTTTGCTCTTCGCTGTCTGTATGAGCTCCAGGATGAGGAGTTTGTGAGGAGAGCTTTAGGAGATTGGGTATCCATGAATCTGTCCAAAGTTTCCCTGAGGAGCACAGACTGTTGGGTGCTGCTGTACTGTCTTCAGTGCTGTCCACACATCAGAGACCTGAACCTCATGTACTGTGATTTAACAGCCGAGAAACTCAAGATTCTCCAGCCAGCATTCTGCATGTGTGAGACTCTGAGGTCAGTGTGTTTGCATGAAGAAACACTTAGATTCAATCTTAATTCTTGATTGACACACTTTTTAAAATACAATAAAAAAATTAATTATTAGTTTATTATATATTATTTATTACATTTATTTTTGCTTAAAGTACTTGCAAGTGTTTCTGTGGTATATGGGTCAGTGACATGACACTTATACACAATAATCATAATAATATCTCATATAGAGAACCACTACACACCCTTACGCCTATATTTCAATGTCAATACATCTCCTATTGTAACGTTTTGTCCAAATGATGATGGAAAAAGTCCCAAAAATTGTTCAGATTACAAAAGGTTTATCAAACAAAACAAATTCAGGTAGGTAATCCACAGACAAGAAGGCAACGAAACGGTGTGCAGACACAACAGTAACAGAACACACAGAATGTGACATCTACAATATTACACAGATATTTTACCCCTGATAAAATGACAAGGTTTGTTTGCATTGTAATTATTAAAAAAAATGTCCATTTATGAATTATACATTTGTGATATTTGCAAATACAATTTTTTGTTTAAATATATGATTTTTTAAATTACATTAATGATTAAAAAACGTTTAAGTTTTATTTCAAAACCATGTGAAATCAGCTTGGATATAATATGGAAAGGTGACAATTTGTGCAAATGCATTTTTAACTAGATTTTTAAAAGTATCTGTCACACTCATATTTGTCATTCATATATCATGTTTAGGTTGTCAACATCATACTTCCAATACAGTAATATGAAATATTTGATAATAATTGAACATAAGTTATCTGTTCTTTTGAATTGGTAGACTACCTGAACCTCATGTACTGTGATTTAACAGCCGAGAAACTCAAGATTCTTCAGCCAGCATTCTGTATGTGTGAGACTCTGAGGTCAGTGTGTTTGCATGAAGAAACACTTAGATTCGATCTTAATTCTCGATTGACACACTTTTTAAAATACAATTAAAAAATTAATTATTAGTTTATTATATATATTTTTTATTACATTTATTTTTGCTTAAAGTACTTGCAAGTGTTTCTGTGGTATATGGGTCAGTGGCATGACACTTATACACAATAATCATAATAATATCTCATATAGAAAACCACTACACACCCTTACGCCTATATTTCAATGTCAATACATCTCCTATTGTAACGTTTTGTCCAAATGATGATGGAAAAAGTCCCAAAAATTGTTCAGATTACAAAAGGTTTATCAAACAAAACAAATTCAGGTAGGTAATCCACAGACAAGAAGGCAACGAAACGGTGTGCAGACACAACAGTAACAGAACACACAGAATGTGACATCTACAATATTACACAGATATTTTACCCCTGATAAAATGACAAGGTTTGTTTGCATTGTAATTATTAAAAAAAATGTCCATTTATGAATTATACATTTGTGATATTTGCAAATACAATTTTTTGTTTAAATATATGATTTTTTAAATTACATTAATGATTAAAAAACGTTTAAGTTTTATTTCAAAACCATGTGAAATCAGCTTGGATATAATATGGAAAGGTGACAATTTGTGCAAATGCATTTTTAACTAGATTTTTAAAAGTATCTGTCACACTCATATTTGTCATTCATATATCATGTTTAGGTTGTCAACATCATACTTCCAATACAGTAATATGAAATATTTGATAATAATTGAACATAAGTTATCTGTTCTTTTGAATTGGTAGACTTCATGAGGATGGGAACAGTGCAGAGAGTCCCAGATGGTCACTTAACCTGTCAGTGACTCGTGGAGATGTTTTGTAAGAAACCTTTGGACATACATCGTAATCCTTCTTATCAAGATTATTTGATAGAATAATTATATAGTCTTGTAGGGAACAATCAGAACACAACATTTCATTCATAGTGAGTGTGTAGTGTGGTTATCAAATGTTTCTCTGTGTTTGTCTGTTTCAGGTTGACTTTCAGCTCCTCATTTCTAGCAGTCTTAAACATCAGTCTTACATGTCCACAATCAGAGATATCCAGCACTGACTGGACACTCTTCTTACAGAGACTCAGCAAGACAGGAAAAGTAGCAGAAGAGTAAGAAAAATGTCAATTTTGCCATTACCCCATTTATCTTATCAGTAGCGTTACTGTTATTCAAACACATTGTGGTCAAATACATTTCTGCAGCTCTTCAGCTCTTGATGAGCTTGTCAGTTTGCTGCTGTCTTCATTTCACTCTGTGGGTTTGAAGACACTGCATCTGAATTTGGTCAGTCTGAATAAGAGCTGGGCTTCTGGGATAATTTCCCTCGTCCAGATCTGCAGCAGTCTACAGCAGCTCAGGTGAGAGGATTTGCATTAGTAAATGATGACTGACAGAACAGAATATTGATTATTCCACAATATAGATTTGTTCATCATAAATAATACTTTAAACTCACATTCTCTATGCTGCAAGCTAATTGAAATGTCACTAACTAAATGATAGCATGTATTGCATGTATTTCAAAAACTTTAATACATTTTGTGTAACTTCAATATTGTAGTGTCGGTGTCACTGGATTGCTTTTGGAGGAGGGACTCATGTTACTGAAGAAATCACTGACAGATCCACACTGCACTGTGATCATTGAAGGGTATGTGTGCACTTATCAACGGTCCGTTTGACATAGGCCTACTTATATAAAGACAACCCGTTTGAGCATGCTTTTTTATTTTAACTAAATTAAAACCACAAAACAAATGAGTTTCTTCTGCAATGTGCATATCAATTATGGAGCATACTGTAACATTTTTGCTGGGTGACAATATGGACAAAACCTACAAAAGCTTCAAGTGGAGTGGTGGTATATTTAGCATATTTGGTGTATGCTATTTATTTTGGTTTCTTACATGTTTATCAAGGAAGAAGTGCAGTAAACCAACTGACCAGTGCAAAGTACAGGACTGGAGACACAGTTGCAATGAGAAAGTGAAGATTCACTTCAAACCAAAAGTTTTGGAAGAGCTGCAAGAGTGAGATAATTTTATAGTCTTAAATGTTTGTTTTTTCATACATTTATCATCTCATTTATCTTTATCATCTCTGTTCTCTAGGCTGAACATCTCTGAACCGTCTGGACTGAATCTTCAGCCGCTCCCAGTGTGTCAGTCTTGTGTTCACATTGGTGATTCTGATCAGTGGGTTCAGGTGGAGCCGTCAGTCTGTACAGAATCAGATGAAGGAGGGTCAGAGTTCAGGATCAGCACTCCGGCGGGTCGATTCGAGTGCAGCAGGACCAGAATGCGATGGGTCTGTGCTGGTGACGTCACTCTCCAGTACCGTGCAGTGGATGGACGTTTCCTCAGAGCAGAGCTGGAGAAACTTCAGCGTGAGAGAATTGGACCTGTGATTGATGTGACAGTGATCTCAGGGAAACTGGAGGAGGCCCATCTGCCTCATTACGCCTGTTTAGCAGAGTCAGACCTCTCTGTTGAAGATGCTGTAATAGGACTCAGCGTTAAAGATGAGGTTGCAATCTTGGAATCAGTGCAGCTGACTCGTTTTCATGCCAAAATAATCCAACCATCCTTTTGGCCTACCACAGTGATTAAAGAAAAAGACATCCCTGTTGAACAGCATTTAGATCTTATCATCTTCATGACAAACGAAGATCCTCTTATTCTCCATGTCTACTTTTTTCCACTGTTTGATACTTTTTCAAAAGAAAAAATTAAGCAGGAAGAAACAGAAAATAATCCTATCGTCCTTGAGATTGACCACCACAGGTCTAGCATGAAAATTCAGATGGACACACCACACATTCTTGAAGTATCCGGTGCCAGTGTACTTCCCGAAGAGGGGATTATATTTTTAAGTAATATTCACCCAAACTTCTTCAAGATCAAGCCAAACGTAGATGAGGATGTACAGATGACTGTCATCAGACAGCAGGATGAAATGTTTGTGTGGAAAACAATAATTTGGAAAGGCAAACTTGATGAGAAAAAAAAAGAAATGAGAGATGTAATGCTCAGGTAGGTTAATGCTGATATTTTTGATAAACACTGGCTAGCTTTTATACAAAGGGTAAAAAATGTGAAGCACATTGCAGACTGCATGAGCAGAGAATAATTCATGATGAACTATATTCTGAAATCACATACTAATTTAACCAGTCAGGATTTTGAGAAAGATCTGTGATAGTGATATGATTTCATCTTTGAAGAACTGGTGTGTTCTGATTATTCACCTTTTTCTCTGGTGAAGAAAATATTGCTTTAGAATAGCAAGTGCCTATATGGACAGCCAGGATTCACAGATTTACCATGTACTTCATAAAAAGATGTCAACAGCTACTGTTTAATGCTAGAATGTAAGTTAAAATGATGTGTAAACTTAACTGAACTGATATTAATTGGAAAATATATTATTGTTTTAAATTAAGTAAGTTAAATTAAGACAACACTCAAACAGTAACCTTGAAATCCTCACATCTCATAAACAGACTGCTGCAATATACTTTGTCTGATAAGATCACTGAATAAGGTGAATGTAAAAAAGAATCTGTACAAGTTTTGTTTCTATATTCTCATGTCATATAGCCATTTTACTGTATTGTCCAGTTTGACATGGCCTAGGTACATGTATGGTTCAGGCATATTTTAACAGAATTTTGGCATATGAATAAGCATGTCCAAAAAGAATACAGTGCACTTTCTGTTTTCAGGCTTCATTATATATATGAATCTTTATTAACTGAATTTGTGGGTTCGGCAGGTTGTCCACAAAAATGAGCAAGCACAACCCAGAAGGAGAGAAGCGGAAGACACGCAAAGGTATATATGATTTATGTGTATATATAATCTGTGCCATCAAAAATATTTTGCGGTTTGTTGAATTTAATATGTTAGAATTAGTTAACGTTAATGCTTTTACATTTAGTCACAACTAAATTTCATTGAGTACCGTCATCTTAATTTTAAGTTTACGTGTGTTGGTGCTACATGAATTATTTTCACTTGCCATGAAAACATTCAGACTATGAGGTTGGATGCCTTTTTTAAGTAAAGTGGCTTAGCCTGTACTGTAATAGAAACCTGTAATAGAAGTGGTTATCCATATATACTGTATATATTTTTGTCTTTAGTGTTTGAAGACAAAAATTCCTCAAATTTACTAATGATCATATGTCACTAAAGGCTACTATTGTTGCTGCAAGTGCGGGTGTAATCTATGACCTGTCCTGTGGTTGATTTTAACAGGCGTTGTTAGCAGAAAAAGTAGGCCTCTTGATCCTCCTCCCCTGGTACCAGTGGGCAGGGCTCGTGTAATGAATGTGAAGGTTGGGAATCTAAGACGTAGTGCCATAAACCGTACCAGAGGCCCGAAAACCCGACAGACGCCCTCGCGAGCCAGACATAACAGTGAGTTTACCCAGTTGTCATTAGTATTGATATAATACTCCCTTCATAGGCGTGTGCAAGCCTGAAGTGCAGTATTTCCTATGTGTGTCTTGGTAATAGAATTGAAGGTGAGCAGGAAGTTAGAGTCAGATCTTTTTATACAAACTGTCACTGACTGGTTTGAGTATTACCAGAGCTCATTGTGGCTGATTGATTTATTTTTAAACTTGTCAGTTTTTCTAGACATACATATATTTATTTTATATACATTTATAATATTAATAAGAATTTGTAATATTTGTAATCCATGGAAGATATAAACTACTTTCTTTCTTTCTTTCTTTCATACATCAATCCTGAAAAACACCAATATTATGAAACATCATCACAATTTAAAATAATACCTTTTTTTTTTTATTTGAATATATTTAAATGTAATGGCAAAGCTCCATTATTAGTGGTCATTACTCCAGTCTATAGTGTTACATAAACCTTTATAAATCTAAATTTGGCACTTAGGAAACTTTAGTATTTTTTTTAGTTGAAAATGGTTGTGCTTTTTAATGACTTGTGGAAAATGTGGAAGAGCTTTTTTTAAGGATTATTTGATAAATATAAAGTTTAAAAGAACTACATTTATTTGTCTTTATACATTTATATAAAGTCTATAACTTGTGTGTTTTTTTAGAGTGGCTTCAAAAGATTCACCAGTATAAAGCATCAGTGACTGACAAGTTTAAGTTTGTGGCAGAGTATAATCTTCCATCTGATGAGCGTGTTGATCTGGCCACCCGTTATACTGAACCAGTGATCATTCAGAGGAGCAAAGAGCAAACTGAGAAATACTATCGTGATCATGTGAGGTCTGTGGATGCTTCATTTCAACTGTTATCAAATGACAAGAATCACAGCATCAGAATAGACCAGCTGTTCAGTCCCGACGGTGATGGAAACACACCGAAAACTGTGATTCTCAGTGGAGATTCTGGAAGAGGGAAATCTTTCATGCTACAGAAGATCATGTTGGACTGGGCTTCTGGAGAACTTTACTCTGAAAACTTCGATGTAGTTTTTCTGTTGAAGTGTGAAGAGCTGAAGTGTGCTGTTTGGATGATGAACTTGTTTGGGCTTTTGAGCTGGAGTTGCAGTTTAACATCAGATCAGATCTCACAGATACTAGAGTTAACACCAAGGAAAGTCCTCATCCTCATTGATGGAATAGATGAGTTCTCATTTGATCCACACATTCAAATATTATTACCTACTAATCCATTGCAGAAAGCCCTGCCAATGGACACTCTTAGGCGTCTGCTGAATGGACTGATTCTGCCTGAGTCTTTCCTGCTGGTTACCACCAGATCAGCTGCAGATACAGAAATGAATCTCCTCAAGGGACGTCAGCGTTTCACTGAGATTATGGGCTTCTCTGAGAGAGGGGTGCAGGAGTACTTCCAGAAGTTCTTTCAGGATGAGCAACTCTTCAGCAAAACACATGAGAGTCTAAAAGCGAATGAAATCCTTCTGACTGCCTGCTCTGTGCCTTTGCTGTGTTGGATGGTCTGTTTTTGTCTGAAGAAACACTTAACCGATGACGATCGTGTGATGAGAGAACTAAAGACAACCACCTCCATATATGTGCTCTTTGTGTCCACTCTACTAGAGCATCATGGTCACAGTCAGTCTGTCCTCACCACGCTGAGGAGGCTGGGTCTGCTGGCAGAGGAAGGGATGAAGAAGCAGCAGGTCTTTCTTGATGAAAAGTGTGTAGCCAAGACTGACTTAGATCCAGCTACTAGTGTGTTCTTGTATAAAGATAGTTTGAAAAGAAAAAACAGACAGGTGCCAGTGTTCAAGTTTATGCATTTCAGCTTTCAAGAGTTTTTCACAGGTCTTTTCTATATTATACTGGATGGAAATGAGTCCTGGGGGAAAGTCAGACAGCTGTTGAGATCGCTGAAATCGAAGGGTATAATCAGTAGGCCATGTCCAGAAAGGAGATCAAATCCTGTCCCTTCAGTCATTATGTTTCTCTGTGGTCTCTTAAATGAGAAAGCGAGCAGCTCACTCTTTGAAATTATCAAGTGGACTGTTCCTCACACCATAAAACTGAAGACAGACTTGCTGGAAAGTGTTCTAAAAACGAGAAGACAGCATGGATGTGAACTGTTTGCTCTTCGCTGTCTGTATGAGCTCCAGGATGAGGAGTTTGTGAGGAGAGCTTTAGGAGATTGGGTATCCATGAATCTGTCCAAAGTTTCCCTGAGGAGCACAGACTGTTGGGTGCTGCTGTACTGTCTTCAGTGCTGTCCACACATCAGAGACCTGAACCTCACGTACTGTGATTTAACAGCCGAGAAACTCAAGATTCTCCAGCCAGCATTCTGCATGTGTGAGACTCTGAGGTCAGTGTGTTTGCATGGAGAAACACTTGTAGATGGAAAATGAATTCTTGATTGACACCTTTTTTTGTGTTCTTGTCCTTGCAAGTGTTTTTGTGATATATGGGGTCAATAACGTGGCACAATAATAATATTAGCAATATTAATACTAATAATTAAAAACCTTCACTAAAAGTTAAAAACGTCAGGTGATATAAAGAACATGAAGAAATACATATTTTAAAATTCAGAACAAAAACCATTAAACCGTAAATGATATCACTGTGGGTCTCTTAAAATGAGACAGATATTTTACCTCTGATGACATAGCAAGTTTTGTTTAGATTGTAGATGTTTGAAAATTGAATATTTATGAATTAGAATATTGCAATATTTGCAAAAATAAAAAAATAATCATTGAAAAAAAAGTAAAAATTTTTTAAAGTTATATAATCAAGTGTGTACACACGTATTCAAGGTGCAAGAAAATGTTATTTAGTTTTTACTTTACATTTTTCGTGTCATAAAATCAGAAAAATTGCACAATTTTTCAAAACCATATAAAATCAAGATATATATCTTGGTTTACTTTAAAGGTGACATATCATGAAAATCCTAGGTTTTAAGTGCTATAATCAGGTCCCCGGTGCATCTACCAACCAAGGAAACATGAAAAAGATTAACCCAGTAACTTTGTTTTGTTAAGCCTTTGATAAGCGCGTCTGATTTCAGTCCCTTGGTGACGTGGCAAAGGGATCTCATTATAATATTACCGGCCCTTTAATCTGTAAGTTTACACCCACAGCGGCGTCATTTGATTTTGCAAGCGACAACGTTGTTCTAGTTCTAATGCCATGGCGAAAGTTTGAGCAAAACATGCTAACTCTTCTGTCTTTGGCTGCACAGACGAGCACAGAACACTGTTTAGAGTCCCAGCTTCAGAGGTGACAAGAGAGCGGTGGATTTATTGATTTATTTAATGTATATTGCTGCTGCCAGACAGATCTAAAATAAACATGCGATTTATTTCCCAGCTGTTTACCTTCACAGACATAACCGACTGTTTTTGTAACTCATGTGTGTTTTTAACGTAAACTTGTGTGTGAATGAGAGCTTAGTTTATTACTCGCATGCTGTGGCAGCCGCTTTCTGTCCGTGTGCTTCGTATGTGTGTGTGCTCAGAAAACAGTATATCAGAAGTTTAAACTCATATGGTTTAAAACGCATGATTTCAGTGAGATAAACATGATAATCAGAACCAAAACATGTTTTTAGCAAGTCCAAGCTATAATGGCGCAGCTCTATTCTGGAAAATGGGGCGGGGAGCAGCAGCTTATTTGCATTTAAAGATGCAAAAAATTTTTTTTTCAAAATGTTATAATAAATGATCTGTGGAGTATTTTGAGCTGAAACTTCACAGACACATTCTTGGGACACCAAAGACTTATATTACATATTGTAAAAAGGGGCATAATATGTCTCCTTTAATAAAACATTTAATTTCTAAATTACTTTTTGTTTTGAACTCAAGGTTATCAGTGGAGCACCTGTCAGAAGTCGGAGGCTTTATCCAGATTCTTGGTGAATCAAAAATTTTAAAAGAACTGAAGTAATTAAAACATCCTACTTCAAATACAGCCATAAAAATATCTGAATAACTAATAAATTAATGTATTCAAAAGAATTGTTTGATAAGTTATCTGTTCTTTTGACTTGGTAGAGTTCAGGAGGATGAATACAGTGCTGAGAGTCCCAGATTGTCACTTGACGTGTCAGTCACACATGGAGATGTTTTGTAAGAAATGTTTGCACATACAGTTAATGCGATTTTTATGTCAGGATCAAGAACACTGTGGCTATCATTCATAGTGAGTGTACGATGTTTCTGTTTCTCGGTCTGTTTCAGTTTGTCTTTGAGCTCCTCAGAGAAGAATCTGTCATTTCCAGCAGTCTTAAACATCAGTCTTACATGTCCACAATCAGAGATATCCAGCACTGACTGGACACTCTTCTTACAGAGACTCAGCAAGACAGGAAAAGTAGCAGAAGTGTAAGAACAATATTCAATTTTGCCATAATTTGCTATTTATCTAATCAGTAGCTTTAATGTTATTCATACATGTAATTATCAATTTCTGCAGCTCTTCGGCTCTTGATGAGCATGTCAGTTTGCTGCTGTCTTCATTTCACTCTGTGGGTTTGAAGACACTGCATCTGAAGGTGGGCAGTCTGAATGAGAGCTGGGCTTCTCGGATCATTTCCCTCGTCCAGACCTGCACCAGCCTACAGCAGTTTAGGTAAGATTATTTGCTTTTATCGGAAGTCAATGGGGACCATCAACTTTTTTGTTAATTTTTCACTGTAAATAAAACAACTATTGACCAGTCAGCATCAAGGAGCTTCTGTTTAATAATTCAATAGTATGACCCTGACTCCTCTAATTATAATTAAAGAATTCAGTGTTTTGCAATGAAAGCAGTGCAAAACACGTTTTAATAGCATGTTATTATGACAAATCTTTGCTTACTGATGTTTGTGTAACATCAATATTGTAGTGTCAGTGTCACTGGTTTGCTGCTGGAGAAGGGACTCGAGTTACTGTATGAATCACTGAAGGATCCAAACTGCACTGTGATCATTGAAGGGTATGTGATATAAATATATATACTGTATATATATATATATTAGAGCAGAGCTTCTAGAGTCCCAATTGTTGGGTCACCAACTGACAATTTTGAAATAGTCACCATATTGGTACAAATCTAACAATATCATGGTTTCTTGTTTATTGCAAAAGATTAAACTACATATTGGTGATATATTTTGCATTTTTATTCTGGTTTCTTCCATCTTTCTCAAGGAGGAAGTGCAGTAAACCCACTGACCAGTGCAAAGAACAGGACTGGAGTCACAGCTGTAACGAGAAAGTGAAGATTAAATTCAAACCAAACATTTTGAAAGAGCTGGAAGAGTGAGATAATTTTATAGTCTCACATGTTTATCTTTTATACATTAAGTCATTTTATTTATCACTGCTATCTCTGTTTTCTAGGCTGAACATCTCTGAACAGTCTGGACTGAATCTTCACCCGCTCCCAGTGTGTCAGTTTTGTGTTCACATTGGTGATTCTGATCAGTGGGTTCAGGTGGAGCCGTCAGTCTGTACAGATGAAGGAGGGTCAGAGTTCAGGATCAGCACTCCGGCGGGTCGATTCGAGTGCAGCAGGACCAGAATGCGATGGGTCTGTGCTGGTGACGTCACTCTCCAGTACCGTGCAGTGGATGGACGTTTCCTCAGTGCAGAGCTGGAGACGCTTCAGTGTGAGAGAATTGGACCTGTGATTGATGTGACGGTGATCTCAGGGAAACTGGAGGAGGCCCATCTGTCTCATTACGCCTGTTTAGCAGAGTCAGACCCCTCTCTTAAAGATGATATAAAGGTCCTCAGTGTTGAAGAAGAGGGAATATCCTTTGAATCAGTGGAGTTGACTCGTTTTCATGCCAAAATACTCCAACCATCTTTTTCTCCAAAAACAGTGCTTATAAAACTAAGGATATTAGTGAAAGTGCACTGTGATCTACTGATCTTCATGACACAAAAGAACCCCATCATTCTCCATGTGTATTTCTTCCCATCAGATTTACTTTTTAAAGAAAAAATTAAGATTGAGGAAAAATCGAGTCAACCAGTCAAATGTCCAAGACCTGAAACCCCACTGCGGATGATGAAACAACACAGTCTTGAGGTTCCTGGAGCTTCTGTCCAACCCGAAGCAATCAAACTAAGAGGTGACATTGAGCCAAACTTCTTCAAGGTCAAACATCCTGTGGTCAATGACATCAATATGACTCTCAGTCGAGTGGATGATCAGAAATCAGTTTGGACTGCCACAATTTGGAAAGAAGAATTAGCCGAAACAATTGCAAGCAAAGTCGAGTCTAGTTTGTTCCAACATGGAGAAATACAAACAAAACCACAAGGGTCTATCAACTTTGATAAAGTTAGTTTTTTTGATAGAAATTGGTGTGCTCTTATTAAAAGTGTTAAGAATGTGAACGGCATTGCAGACAAACTGCTTCAGGAGCAGGTCATTAATGAAGAAATGTATTCTAAAATCACACATCCGACTTCAACTAAAGAAGAAAGCATGAGAGAGATCTGCAGCAAAGTGCGTAAAAGCAGCGTCACTGTGAAAAATCTCTTCATCGCTATCGTTCAGGAAGAGGAGCCCAGCCTTTTAAATGATTTGCATTTATTGGACTTTCAGCTTTAAAAGGTTAAAGTGATTTAAACCCACAAGTGCAGAGAGAAATGTGTTTATATGTTTTTATACATTTAATTGTAAAAATGTTTATAGGGAAGAGCGGGGTACGATGTATGTTTAACTCCCTTGATCTACGCCCTTACCATACTGTGATGCCCTGTCCGACCGGAGCGACGAGACAAAAACATTAAAACCTATTATAAACGAGGCATTTGTTGCATCCAGTGGGGACATAATTACGGATTATAATGACTTATACTGTCTTTTTACGCGTTGCATTGCATTGCATCGCGCTGCATAAACATAAAACCATGTCTGCATTTGTGATCGGAGAAATGACAAACAACAAGCGCTACTCTACACTGCTCAAAACTCACGTTTGAATCATCAGTGGCAAATTCTTTAAATATGAAAACGTACTTACAGACTGTGAGTCAGAACAGCCGGCATTGTAGTCTACTCTACCAGGATCAGGAAACAGTCCTCCGTATAATGCGCTGCACACATCTGAATATTTGGGTTGAACTGTTGAACTGGAACAGTGTTGTAAATACAACTTAACCACTGATTTCTAGTTGTGTCCTCTTTTGGAAGGCCAAACAAAGTAGTTTCGCTTTCACAACGAAACACACAGCGTCACACACGGCGGGCTAGAGTGAGTGGCGGCCGGGGGATTCGACGAAGGAGCGTCCGGCGGGCTTGCAGCAACCACATGTGACGACCCCGGGCTGGACTC